AAGGTGGCTCAGTGGTAGAGTGCTTGCCTTGCATGCATGAGGCCCTGGGTTCGATTCCTCAGCACCACATAAGCAAAAAGAAAAAAGCCAGAAATAACGCTGTGGCTCAAGTGGTAGAACGCTAACCTTGAGCTGAAGAGCTGAGGGACAGTGCCCAGGCCCAGAGTTCAGGTCCCACGACCGGGCCAAAAAAACAAAAAGAGTCTCACAGACTTTCCTCCCTGGGCTGGCTTTGAACCACGATCCTCAGATCTCAGTTTGCTGAGTAGCTAGGATTCCAGGCATGAGCCACCAGCATGTGACAGCTTCTTTTTTTTTTTTTTTTTGCCAGTTTGGGGCCTGTACTCAGGTCCCTGGGCACTGTCCCTCAGCTCTTCAGCTCAAGGCTAGCGCTCTACCACTTGAGCCACAGCACCACATCCAGCTTTTTCTGCTTATAAGATGTTGAGGAATGGAACCCAGGGCCTCATGCATGCAAAGCAAGCACTCTACCACTAAGCCACCTTCCCAGCTTGTGGCAGCTTCTTTACTCTTGATTAAGTTGTGACCAAGAGAACATGGCTTAATTTAGAGTAAAGATTAATCAAGATTTGTGTGGAAACCTGAACCCAGAAAAGCAGTCTTTACCAGACATTGGTATATCTCAAATATTCTTCGCTCTTTAGCCTCACAATCAGTTTTTTTTACAGTGCAGGCACTAATGAACTTTGAAGACAAGTAGAGCATACATGGATGGCTTCCAAATCTCTGAGCCCAGCATAAGATTATGAAAGGAATTGTTGGAATTCACAACATAAAAGGCTAATAAATATGCTAACAAATTCTACTGGTAAGTTAACTGTATCACTGAGACATAGAAGATACCATAAGTTATAAGGTCAGCTCAAAAGTTAGTTCAGGGGCTGGGAAGGTGGCTCAGTGGTAGAGCGCTTGCCTTGCATGCATGAGGCCCTGGGTTCGATTCCTCAGCACCACATAAGCAAAAAGAAAAAAGCCAGAAATAACGCTGTGGCTCAAGTGGTAGAGCGCTAGCCTTGAGCTGAAGAGCTGAGGGACAGCGCCCAGGCCCAGAGTTCAGGCCCCATGACCGGACCCCAAACCTGTAGTTCCTGACTTTGACTTTATAATTTTAGCCCTCCTCCCCCTTTTTTTTTGGTCAGTTGTGGGGCTTGAATGCAAGGCCTAGGTACTGTCTCTGAGCTATTCTGCTCAAAGCTAATGTTCTACCATTTTGAGCCACAGTCTACTTCCAGTTTTCTGGTGGTTAATTGGAGATAAGAATCTCATAGGCTTTCAACTGCCATCCTCAGATCACAGTAGCTAGGATTACAGAGTGGGCCACCAGTGCCCAGCATATTTTTGGTGGTGGTGGGGGGTCGCTAATGGGTCTTGAACTCTCGGCCTGGGTGCTCTTTCTAAGCTCTTCAGCTCCAGCTGAGCACTCTACAAGAGTCCCTTAGCCATAGCACCACTTCAGGCTCTTTCTGTTTATGTGATACTGAGGAATGACTAAGCCACATTCCCAGCCCAGAGCTGGAGTCTTACATACTTTTTTGCTCAAGTGAGTCTAGACTGTGAGCCCTTTGATTCCAGCCTTCTACATATCTGGAATGACAGGTGTGCACCACAGTACCCAGCTATTGGTTGAGAAAGGAGGCTTGAAAACTCTTCTACCTGGGCTTGATGCCTTTAACTGCCATCCTCTTGTGTTCAGCCTCTTAAGTACACAGGATTACAGCTGTGAACCACCAGCCTGTCTTGTACTGGTTATTTTTCAATCACAGCTGATGCTCTACCATTTAAGCCACAGGTTTCTTGTGCTAGTTTTTTTTTTTTTTTTTTGAGATACGGTCTTCCTTTTTGCCCTGGGCTAACCTGGACCTTGATTCTCCTAGTTATGCACCATAGCTTGGATAACAGGCTTACACCACTATGACACTGTTTTTATTGGTTGAGACAGAGTCTTGCAAACTTTTTTTGGGAGGGCCTGGGCTGGCCCGGAGCAACAATCTTCCTGATCTTTTTTTTTTTTTTTTTTGTCAGTCATGGGGCTTGAACTCTGGGCTTGGGCACTGTCTGGGCTTGGGCACTATCTCAAGGTGAGCGCTCTGCTGCTTGAGCCACAGGCCACTTCCAGTTATTTTTTCTAGTCGTTTATTGGAGATGAGAGTCTCAGACTTTTCTGCCTGGGCTGGCTTTGAACTGTGATCCTCAGATTCCAGCCTCCTCTGTAGCTAGGATTACAGGCCTGAGTCACCGGCACCCGGCAATCCTCCTGATCTTTTCTTCCTGAGTAATCTGGATTTCAGATGTGAGCCACTGTTCTTGGCTCTCTCATTACTTTTTGAATGCTTGATATGTACAAAAATACTTTATATGTAGCTCGCATATACACATACCATAAATATAATGTGTATACATGAAGAATTACACATTCCATAAAATTACCTTTTTTAATTATCAGAAAATTGAGACTTAAAAATATTAATTAAGTAACTTTCCCAAGGGCACATACCAAGTAAGAAGCAAAGCTAAGAATCTGACTGAGCCAGTGGCTCATGCCTGTAATCCTAGCTACTCAGGAAGCTGAGATGTGAGGATCACAGTTCTAAGCCAACCTGGGCATGAAAGTCCCATCTCTAATTAACACCCCAAAAAGCCAAAAGTGAGGCTGTGGCTCAACTGGTAGAGCATTAGCCTTGAGCAAAAGAAGTTCAGGGACAGTGCCCAGGCCCTGAATTAAAATTCCAGGACTAGCATACAAAAAGAAAATTTAAGGATTCTAATGCAGATTAAAGAATCAGAGTTGAGAAAAATTAAACTTAAAAACCACTTAAACCATAAAGTAACTTATTATACATGTTGTTTTTTTTCTTATTTTGGGGTTTCTTTTTTTTGGGGGGGGCCTGGTAGTGGGGCCTGAACTCTGGGCCTGGGCACTGTCCCTTAGCTCTTCAGCTCAAGGCTAGTGCTCTACCACTTGAGTCACAGCACCACCTCTGGCTTTTTTTCATTCTGCTTATGTGGTGCTAAGGAATCGAACCCAGGGCCTCATGGATGCAAGGCAAGCGCTCTACCACTGAGCCACCTTCCCAGCCCATTATTTTGGGGTTTCTTGAGGTGATAAAAATGTTCTAGAATTGCCAGGTGCTGGTGGCTCACGCCTGTAATCCTGAGATCTGAGATCTGAGGATCTGAGGAGCCTGAGATCTGAGGATCACGGTTCAAAGCCAGCCGGGGCAGGAAAGTCTGTGTGACTCTTATCTCTAATAAACCACTAGAAAAATGGAAGTGGTACTGTGACTCAAGTGGTAGAGCGTTCACCTTGAATTGAAGAGGGCAGGGACAGCGCCCAAGCCCAGAGTTCAAGCCCCATGACGGACCAAAAAAAAAAAAAAAGTTCTAGAATTAATAATGATAGTTGTACAATATAATGAATATATTAAAGTACACTGAATTATGTTTTGAAATGGTGAGTTTTTATTATATGATTTAGATCTAAAATGAAGCATATAAAGATTATCTAAAATTCAAGAGGCAACATTACGTATCAAGGAAAATGGTCATTCTTCATAATATGAGAAATGGAGAAAAAAATGTAAATGAAAATCAAGCTGGGGCTGGGAATGTGGCTAGGCAGTAGAATGATTGCCTAGCATGCACAAAGTCCCTGGGTTCACCGGAAGTGGTTCTGTGGCCTACGTGGTAGAGTACTATCCTTGAGCAAAAGAAGCTTAGGAACAGTGCCCAGGACCTGAGTTCAAGCCTCAAGACTGGCTTAAAAAACAAAAACAAAAACAAGATGAACTGGTGGTAATGGCTAATGCCTGTAATCCCAGCTACTCAGGAAGCTGCAATATGAGGATCACAATTTGAAGCCAGCCTGAGCACAAGAGTTTGTCAAAATCTTACCTCCAAAACACTGCAGGAATTGGAGCTTGACTCAAGTGGTAGAGTGTTAGCCTTGAACAAAAGAAGCTCAGGGTCAGTGCCCAAGCCCTGAGTTCAAACACACAAAAAATCAAGCCAGGCTTTGGAGGCTCATGCTGGTAATCCTAGCCACTCAGGAGGCTGAGATCTGAGGATCATGGTTCAGAGCCAGCCTGGGCAGGAAAGTGGATAAGACTATTTCCAATTAACTACCAAAAAGCCAAAACTAGAACTATGGTTGAAATGGTAGAGTGTTAGCCTTCAACAAACAAGTTCAGGGACAGTGCCCAGGCCCTGAGTCTGACCCCCAGGACCAGCATAAGAAAATTAAATCTGCCGGGCTGGGAAGGTGGCTCAGTGGTAGAACGCTTGCCTTGCATGCCTGAGGCCCTGGGTTCGATTCCTCAGCACCACATAAGCAAAAAGAAAAGCCAGAAGTGGCGCTGTGGCTCAAGTGGTAGAGTGCTAGCCTTGAGCTGAAGAGCTGAGGGACAGCACCCAGGCCCACAGTTCAGGCCCCACGACTGTACCCAAAAAAAAAAAAAATTAAATCTGCATAAAATGGTATTAGAGGTCTCCCTATCGACAGGGGAGAAAGGAGACATGGAGAATGCTAAGTGGGGATGTGATTGGTTGGAACATACTGTAAACATGTGTGGAAATGTAATAACAAAATCCCCATTTGTATATATAAGCTAAAAGAAAATGTTTCCCTATCATAAGAAATATGATATGGGGCTGGGAATGTGGCACAGTGGTAGAGTGCTTGCCTTGCATGCATGAGGCCCTGGGTTCGATTCCTCAGCACCACATATGCAAAAAGAAAAGCCAGAAGTGGCGCTGTGGCTCAAGTGGTAGAGTGCTAGCCTTGAGCTGAAGAGCTGAGGGACAGTGCCCAGGCCCAGAGTTCAGGCCCCATGACCAGACCCAAAAAAAAAAAAAGAAATATGATATATATTTGGAAAAGTGAACTAAAATATACAAATATGATACAATATGTAATATAGGTTAATATATAATATGCTCGTGAGACTTGAACTCAGAGCCGGGGCACTGTCCCTGAGCTCTTTTGCTCAAGAATAGCACTCTATCACTTTGAACCACAATTCTACTTCCAGTTTTCTGGTGGTTAATTGGAGGTAAGAGTCTCAGAGACTTTCCTGCCCTGGCTGACTTTGAACTATGATCCTCAGATCTTAGTCTCCTGAGTAGCTAGGATTATAGGCCTGAGCTACCAGCGCCCAGCTGCATTTTCTTTCATAGTAGTATTGGGGTTTGAACTCACACTTGGTATAACTTGAGCTACAATCTCATCCCTTTTTGTTTTACTTGTTCTTTTTTATCAAGTTTTTGCCTGGGGCTGGCCTCAGATTGTAGTCTTCCTATATCTCCTCTACCTCCTGAGTGGCTGGAATTACAGGCATTTACATGACATGTTGCCAGCTCTTACTTTTTTTATTTTTAAAAAAATTTTTTTGCTGGTCCTGGAGCTTGAACTCTGGGCCTAGGCGCTGTCTCTGAGCTCTTCAGCTCAAGGAGAGCACTCTACCACTTAAGCCACAGCGCCACTTCCCGTTCTCTGGTAGTTAATTGGAGATGCAAGTCTCACTGGCAGGTTTGGAGAGAAAGTAGTGCTGCATAAAAAGTGTCTGTTGTGGGGCTGGGAAGGTGGCTCAGTGGTAGAGCGCTTGCCTTGCATGCATGAGGCCCTGGGTTCGATTCCCCAGCACCACAGAAGCAAAAAGAAAAAAGCCGGAAGTGGCGCTCTGGCTCAAGTGGTAGAGCACTAGCCTTGAGCTGAAGAGCTCAGAGATAGTGCCTGGGCCCAGAGTTCAATCTCCATGACTAACCAAAAAAAAAAAAAAAAGTCTCATGGACTTTCCTGCCTGGGCTGGCTTTGAACCACAATCCTCAGATCTCAGCCTCCTGAGTAGCTAGGATTACAGGCGTGATCCCCTGGCACCCAGCTTTACCTTTCTATTTTCTAGTTAATTAATTAGCTAATTAAAGCCGGGCGCTGGTGGCTCACGCCTGTAATCCTAGCTACTCAGGAAGCTGAGATCTGAGGATCTCGGTTCAAAGCCAGCCCGGGTAGGAGAGACTGTGAGACTCCTATCTCCAATAAACCACCAGAAAACCGGAAGTGGCACTGTAGCTCAAGTGGTAGAGCGCTCACCTTCAGCTGAAGAGCTGAGGGATAGCACCCAAGCCCAGAGTTCAAGCCCCACGACCGACAAAAAAAAAAAAAAAATTAGCTAATTAATTTTTGTGGTGCTAGGGTTCAAACCCCTGTCCTTATGCATGCTAGGCAAGCTCTCCACCACTGAGTTACACCCATAGCCTGCTGCTGTGTGTTTCCTTGTGTACAGTTTTCTGCCGACCCCCAAATTATGCCTCCAGGTCTTCAGTTCTCCATCTCTGTGTCTGCCTACTTCTCTTTCATGCCTGGCTCCTAACCCATCTCGCTCCTTGAGTTCCTCTGAGGCCCCCCTGGGATCCCCTATCGTTGGTCCCCCTTACAGAAAAACACCAAATTTCCAGAGCCAAAGGATCAGGTATTCAGTGGCTCAGGTGACAAACCTGCTGTCAGGTTACAGATATTGTTTCCTGAAAGACCGCACCACAGTGTCAGTGGAGCCCCGGGCTGCCTGCACTGCCCTGCCCTCCTCTGGTTAGCCACACATAGTGAGTGAGAATAACCCAGCTCACCTCCAGAACCAGCGTGCACCTGGAAACATGGCTCTGAGCTTCTGGCCCATGCTGTTGTTGCTGCTGCTGACCTGTGCAGGTAAGAAGAACAGTGAGCAAGGCTGGGGAGAAGGGTGGGTGGGCGGGGGAGGGGTTTGATTGAAAGAGACTTAAGAATGTGGAGGTTAGCCAGATGTGCCAGTGCACACCTGCCATCCCAACCCTTGGGAGGCGAAAGCAGGAGGACTGCAAGTTTGCAATCACCCTGGGCTACATAGTGAGACCTCGTCTCAAAGTATACTAATAAAGTAGAAGTTAGCCAGTTAGATAACAGCTAAAGGGATAAGGAATAGAGGGGCAGAGATGATGCTCTGGGTTAGAATGAGGATGAAGAAAGCAGGCCAAGACCTCCTGCCCCTGATGAAAGGGGCTGAACTCGCCGTCCATGGCCTGACTTCCTCCTCAGATGCAGGCAGGGAAATGTGCTCAGGGGCTTCTAGGTTCCTCCCTTGTTGTGACCTCCGGCTTCTCTCTTTACAGTGACTCTAGCCCCTCCTGGGCCTCAGTCCCTGGATCATGGTCTCTCCCTCCTGAAGTCATTCCTCTCTTCTCTGGACCAGTCTCCTCAGGGTTCTCTCAGCCGCTCTCGGTTCTCTGCCTTCTTGGCCAACATTTCCTCTTCCTTTGAGCGGGGGAGGACGGGGGAGGGACCAGTGGGAGAGCCCCCACCTCTCCAGCCCCCTGCCCTCCGCCTCCATGATTTTCTAGTGACACTAAGAGGCAGCCCAGACTGGGAGCCAATGCTAGGGCTACTGGGGGATGTGCTGGCACTGCTGGGCCAGGAGCAAACTCCCCGGGACTTCTTGGTGCACCAGGCAGCTGTGCTAGGTGGACTGGTGGAGGTGCTGCTGGGAGCCTTAGTGCCTGGGGGGCCTCCTGCCCCTACACGGCCCCCGTGCACCCGCGACGGGCCCTCGGACTGTGTCCTCGCTGCTGACTGGTTGCCTTCTCTGCTGCTGCTGTTAGAGGGCACACGCTGGCAGGCCCTGGTGCAGGTGCAGCCCGGTGTGGACCTCATCAATGCCACAGGTCTCGATGGAAGGGAGCCAGGCCCCCATCTGCTGCAGGGTCTGCTGGGCTTGCTTACCCCAACAGGGGAGCTGGGCTCTGATGAGGCCCTTTGGGGTGGTCTGCTACGCACAGTGGGGGCCCCCCTCTATGCTGCTTTCCAGGAGGGGCTGCTTCGTATCACTCACTCCCTCCAGGACGAAGTCTTTTCCCTTCTGGGCCAGCCAGAGCCTGATGCCACTGGGCAGTGTCAGGGAGGTGAGCGCTGCCAGGGCTGGGGCTGGGAGGCAGCAGGGAGAGAAGGCAGGAGTTGGGCCTTCTCTTTCCCGGTCTTCTTTTCCTTCTAGGTAACCTTCGGCAGCTGCTGCTGTGGTAAGTAGCAGGGGTTGTAAGGATTCTGAGGGGTTGAGCCTGGGAAATGTGGAGGTGGAAAGCTGAAGACATCAGCCTTCAGAGCCAAGGAGAACAGTGGCGGGAGGAGCATGGCTTAGTCATTTCCAAGTGTGACTCTGGGTTGGCGTCCCAGCTCCCTTTCACTCTAGCCTTGCCTCCTTGGGAGCATCACATGCGCTTTTTCTATGCCTCAGTTTCCCCATTTGTAAAACCAGTGTGGTCCTATTAGCTAATGCAGAGCTGTCGTAAAGAATCAAATGGTTTGAGGGCTGGGAAGGTGGCTCAGTGGTAGAGCGCTTGCCTTGCATGC